CCCACGGGCGTTGCCCCCACTGCTCATGCAGCCCACTCTGCAACGCTACTTTCTGCTCGAAGACACAAACCCTGACACCTATAGTTGACCTGGGGGACAGATCGTCAAGGCTCCATGGTCAACGCCCAGTCCTACCACCTTGGCAAATCACAATCCCATGTTTGGTCTAAATTAAAATATATATACATATATATATATATATTTACTTATTGTGTGTATATATACACGTCACTTGTGCGCAAATAAGCATTTGTGCATGCTTATGGAGGCAAAAGATTGATGTCAAGTGTTCATTGTTCTGCATCCTATTTTGTGTTTATTTATTTTTGGTTTTTCAAGACAGGGTTTCTTTGTGTAATAGTCCTAGCTATTCTGGAACTCACTTTGTAGACCAGGCTGGCATCGAAACTCACCGAGATGCACTTGTCTCTGTCTCCAAGTGCTGGGATTAAAGACTTTATTTATTTATTTTTAAATAAGAGTCTCTGTACATAGCCCTGGCTGTCCTGACTTATTTATTTATTTATTTATTTATTTATTTATTTATTTATTTATTTATTTTTAAATAAGAGTCTCTGTACATAGCCCTGGCTGTCCTGGAACTCACTATACAGACCAGGCTGGCCTCCAATTCACAGAGCTCCACCCACATCTGCCTCGTAAGTGCTGGGATTAAAGGCATGGGCCACCACGCCTGGTCCTCTTTAATTGTATGAGTGTTTTGCTTGCATGTATGTACCAAGTGGGTCTCAGCAGTAAGGTGTCTGCAGCGAGTACACTAATGACTGAATCAGATGACATTTAAGGAAAAGGAGCCAGTAGGGTTCATGCCCAATTTGGTGCCCTCTTCCCTTTGTTTTCCAGGCCCAGGGGCGAGAGCTGTTTTTACCTTTGTAGGTTGCTGTTTTTATGGTTCATATGCTGTCTTGGCTAGATTTTTTTTTTGTGTGTGTCAACTTGATACAAGCTAGAGTAATTTGAGAAGAAGGACCTCAATTGAAGAAATGCTCCCACCAGACTGGCCTGTGGGCAAGACTGTGGGGCTCTGTTCTTGACTAATGATTGATGTGGAAGGGCCCAGCCCACTGTGGGTGGTGCCACCCCTGGGCAGGTGGTCTTGGATTATATAAGGAAGCAGTCTGAGCAAGCCATGAGGAGCAAACCAGTAAGCAGTACTCCTCCATTGGCTTCTGCTTCAGTTCCTGCCTCCAGGTTCCTGCTCTGAGTTCCTGTTCTGACTGTCTATCACCCTCAGTGACAGACTGTGACCTGAGAGTATAAATGAAATCAACCCCTTCCTCCCCTTGGCTCCCAAGTCTAGGCTGCAATCCATCATTGTGAGGAATCCATCAAGGGAGCAGGAACCTGGAGCAGCCAGTCACATGACATCCACAGTTAGGAAAAGACAGCAATGACTCATGCATGCTTTCTCCACTCTTAGAAAACCTAGGATCCCCTTCCTAGGGAATGGTGTCACCCACTGTGGGCAAAGTCTTTCCATTAATTCAGATATCTGCCCCCCCCCACAGACATGTCCATAAATCAACTTAGTCTAGACAGTCCCTCACTGAGACTCCCTTTCCAGGGTGACTCTATCTTACGTCAAGTGAACAATCAAAGTCAACCATTGTAAGAAGGTTTTGGGCTGTTTTGTTTTCTGAGACAGTCTCTTTCTATAGACCAGGCTAGCCTTAAATTTATGATCTTCCTGCTGCAGCTCCTGAGTTGTGAGATTAGACACAAAGCACTATGCCTAGCTGATTTATTTATCCATCTATGTTTTTATTGACATCTATTAAGTATACATAATTATACATAGGTTCTGGGTATCCAAACTCCAGTCCTCGAATGCCTTTAAACCTAGCATTCGGGAAGTAGAGTCAGGCGGATCTCTGAAAGTTCGAGGCCAGCCTGGGCTACAGAGCAACTTTCAGGACAGCCAGAGCTACCCAGAGAAACCCTGACTTAAAAAACAACACCCCCCCCCCCAAAAAAAAAAAACCCAAATCAAACTCCAGTCTTCATGCTTGCAAGGCAAGCACTTTAGCCACTGGGCCCCTGCTAAATGTAAACTTCTAGAAAACACTCTTTCTTTGGAGGATGAGGCTATTGGATCCCCTGGTTGATATCATTAGACCCCTCCCTGGTGCCCTAACATCCTTGAGCGAAGGACCGCATATCAGGCAGCTGGCTAGAATATCCTTATGCCAGCACTGGCTATTTTGAACATTCCACAGATGTGCAAGGCTAAAATACAACTTCAGCTCCAAGAGGTGTGGCTTCAGCAATGACTCAAACAGCTTTGAGCAGGCCTTTCCTAGCAACCACTTATAGCAGGTCAGCCGAGCACTTCCCCTGATAGTCTAGCAAAGGAGATGGTGACTGTTACAAAACACATTAGTGCCTTGATTGGTATAACTACTGTCCTTCTTCATTTGCGTAATGACCTGTTCTGATTGGTGCAAACAGTCCACTTCTGACTATATACAGGCTGTTTGGCTCACTTTGTAAACAAGCTGGGAGATACTTTTTTTTTTTTTTTTGAGAGGCCCTTGTGTACAGCAGATTGGTCTCAAAGTCACTTAGGAGAGGGTGACCTTGGAAATCTGGAGTCCTATCTCAGCTTTCTAAATGCTGGGATTATTTCTGGTAGGAGACACTTTTTTTTTTTTTTGGTTTTTTCGAGACAGGGTTTCCCTGTGTAGCTTTGCGCCTTTCCTGGAACTCACCTGGTAGCCCAGGCTGGCCTCGAACTCACAGAGATCCGCCTGGCTCTGCCTCCCAAGTGCTGGGATTAAAGGCGTGCGCCACCACCGCCCGGCAGGAGACACTTCTTGTATTGTCCCAATGTGATATTCCAGCATTGGGGCAAACAAAGTCTTTGCCAGAGACCTTTTCTTTTTTCTCTTTTTTGAGACAGCCCAGAACTCACTATGTGTTATGGAATAATCTTTTTGTACACTGTGAAGATGTGTCTTTGCCAAGGCACCTTCTGATTCATTTAATAAAAGAGTTGACTGGCTGGTAGCTAGGCAGGAGGTATTGGCGGGGCAGCAAGACACAGAGGCTGCTGGGAAGAAGGGTGGAGTCGCAGGAGTTTTGAGCAGACACAGAGAAGCAAGATGAATGTGCTGTATTGAGAGAAGGTACCAGCACGTGGCAGAGGGTAGATAAGAAATATGGGTTAATTTAAAGTGTAAGAGTTAGCTAGTAACAAGCCTGAGTTATCGGCCAAATATTTGTAGTTAATAAGTCTCTGAGTGGTTATATTTGGGAGTGGCTGCTGAGACACAGAGAAACTCCACCTACAATGATGCAGACCAGACTGGATTTGAACTCACAGAGATCCACTTGTGCTGAGATTAAAGGTGTGTACCACCACGTCTGTCCTTTCTCGCCGACTTTTCTAGGTGTGGATGGGTTGGTGTGGCAAAGAAGGAGGTAGCAGTGAAGAGACTGGAGACCCAGCAGCAGAGCTGCAGCAGAGGCAGGGATGGCGAAGCAGCAGTTATACGGGCCTGTCTTTGGACCGCCAGCACCCAGATAGTGACACAGAGACTTTTCACTAATTATGAAAGCGTGGCTTGCTCCCAACCGGCTCTTAAAAGTGTAAATTAACCTGTTTATATTAATCCACATTCTGCCACGTAGCTCGTTACCTTTCCTCAGTACGGTATGTCCAACTTCCTCCGTGTCTGGCTGGCAAATCTCCCACCTCAGATTCTTTTCCAGAATTCCTATCTCTGCCTGGAAGTCCAGCCTATGCTCTCCTACCTAGCTACAGGCCGTTCAGCTCTTTATTAAACCAATTAGAAGGTGCCTTAGGCAGGTGACATAAAACAAGAGACACATCTTTACACAGTGCACAGAGACTGTCCCTACAAGCCGTAGAGCAGTAGTAGAAAGTGTCAACGGTGGCTTTAAGAGGCAAGGGTCTTAGTCTCAGGAACTGTATCACTGGCCACTGTCAAAGGCCAGGAAATCTGGTCGCTTACGCCCACACAAGAGCTAAAAACACTTGTTACTATAGCGCTAAGGGTCCCAGTCAGAACTTAAGGCTGTATCGGATCTGTAACTGTTGCAGCTCCTAGCTATCCCCTTTGCTGTCAGAAGCTGAAGATTAGGAAAGCCGCCAAGGACCAGCCCTGGAAAAACTCACTGACTCAAGATTTCTATCTTGGGAGAGAGCAGGACCCCAGGTTAAATGGTAACCGAATGGAATACTTTCCTGGAAAAGACTCCAGTACCTAAAGGGACTATCTTCTGCCAGGATTATGCAGCTGGGGTCAGTGTCCTCTCACCTGTGCTAACAAATGTGCCAGTAGAAGGTAAAGATACTATGGAGCCGCCGGGAAGCCGAACAGCAGAGAGGCGAGGAAGGAAGAAACCGAACAGGGTTCTAGAGAGCTGTGCAGCAGTGTCTGTCGCCAGGCTCCCCCAAACCTGCAAACTAGACATTCACTAACCAGTTCCCTCTGGGCAAGCCTGTTTGACCCAGGCTTCTGTCATTGAAGAACTGACAAACGCCCCGAAGTTAGCCTCTCTGTAAAGTCAGAGGCTGGACCAAAGCTGCCTTCTCACCGCGGAGTCCTGCGCTATCCGGTTCTGAACCCGGGGGCTAATGGACAGTAGCAACAGTCTGGTGACACCAGGGGCCCGGGCTTCCGAGCTTCCAACTCTGCGTGCTGGCCGCGTGGCCGGTTCTGATGCCGCTGGAGGCAGGGCAGCGGATGTGAATCAGTTTGGCTTGGCAAGCAAACAAAAGACAGTCGGGAAAGTCGCCGCAAGGACTTAGATTTTTTTTTTTTTTTTTGTGGGGTGAGGTGGGGTGGGGTGGGGAGTGGGAAGGCGTCTGCACCACCCACAAGTGCTATATACAACCCGCCAGGGCCCGCAACACCTGCGAGCGAAAAGTCCAACACCGTGGCCCACAATGCCTCGCGCCCAGGCCGGTCCCGCCCCCTTCAGCTGGGTCCTCAGCCTCGGATTGGTCGTGACGACTTCCGCTTTTCCGGAGGCCGGGCCGTAGCCCTGGTAAGGTGAACGGCGGCTGAAACTGCTGGCGGCCTGCGGGGTCCGGGAGTAGGTTCGGGGCTCTCGGGGGAGCGAGGGATGTTAGGGCAGGCGGCCGGTGCGGACACGGAGGCGGCGGAGCTCCTGCCCTTCCTGGCGCCCGGCGCGCGGGCAGACCTGCAGGCGGCCGCGGCGCAGCACGTGTTGGCTCTGACTGGCTCGGGCTCGGGCCGTTCGCTGTTGGCGGGACAGGCAGCGCTGCTGCGGGCTCTAGCCGAGCTTGCCGTGGCCCCCGCCCCGGCCCCTTCCCGCGACGCCTCCCGCGCGCTCGTGAACTTGGCTGCTGACCCCGGCCTGCACCGGCCGCTGCTGGCGGCGGACCCGGAGCTGCCTGCCCGCCTGCTGAGCTGCGTGTTGGACCCTCAGTGGCCCTGGGCTGAAGAGGTGGCCGCAGTACTGGCCAATCTGACCCGCGAGCTGGCGCCGTGTGCTGCGTTGATGGAGAAGCTGATGGCCGCTGAGCCGGAGCGGCCGGGTCTGGAGCAGCTGGTCAACGCGCTGTGCATGCCCAGCTACAACGCGGCCGCGCCCCTGCATTACCTGGGGCCGCTGCTCTCCAACCTTAGCCAGCAGGCGGAGGTGCGTGCTTTTCTCCTGGACCCGGACAGGTGAAGCCCAGGCGCCCGCGTGGGCGGGGAGGGGGTGTGGAAGTGAACAAGGACAGCAGCGAGTGTGGCCTTCCAACAGATGCGTGGTCCAGCGGCTGCTGCCTCTCACCCAGTACACAGACTCCTCAGTGCGGAGGGGAGGAGTGGTGGGAACTCTTCGGAATTGCTGTTTCGAGCATCGTAAGTGACAAAGGGGGGGGGGGGGATTGTGCCGTTGCTGGGTGGGGACAGGTCCCTCGGGACCCAGTAGACCAATTCCTTGGTCCCTTGCCTTGTTTCCACCTACAGGACACCACAAGTGGTTGCTCGGGCCCCAAGTGGACATTCTCCCCTTCTTGCTACTGCCCTTGGCTGGGCCTGAGGAGTTTTCTGAGGAAGAAATGGACAGTGAGTGACTTAGGTCGTTGTCTCAAGGTTGTCTAGGATGGTTGGAAGGATACAAGCAAGGGGAGAGGGAGAATGTACAGGTCTGGAGTCCCTTCAAAAGCCTTTATGGAGGGGGTTGTTACACACACACACACACACACACACACACACACACACACACACACACACACACACACACACACACACGGGAGGCTCACCCAGGCAGAGCAGGGCTCAGGTGTCCAGCACAGCTCCCACCCTCACTCCTAGGGCTGCCTGTTGACCTGCAGTACTTGTCACCAGACAAGCAGCGAGAGCCGGATGCTGACATCCGAAAGATGCTCATCGAAGCCATCATGCTGGTGAGCAGGGGTCTGTGACGTTAATGCCTCTCCACAATACATATTGGTGGTATCTGAGTAACCCTTCCCATCTCCCCAGCTGACAGCCACTGCCCCAGGTCGGCAGCAGATACGGGACCAGGGCGCTTACTTGATCCTTCGAGAGCTACACGACTGGGAGCCGGAGGCTGATGTGCGAATGGCTTGTGAGAAGCTTATCCAGGTGAGTGCAGGGACGGGGGGCTAGAGAAGCTGTGCCCACAGCTAACGAGCGGCTCACCTGCTTCCTCTGCTTGCAGGTGCTTATTGGTGATGAGCCAGAGGTTGGCATGGAAAACCTGCTGGAGGTGCAGGTGCCTGAAGACGTGGAGCGACAGCTGCAACAGCTAGACGAGCAGGAACAGCTAGAGCTTGCTCGAGAGCTAAGAGGCAAGGGTACCCGAGGGACCTGAAGCCAGAGCTTGCTCAAGAGCTAAGAGGAAGGGGTACCCGAGGGACCTGAAGCTCCTGTGACCTAAGTGCCAGCTCCAGATCTGCCGGTGCCAGTGTTCCCACAGGGTTCTAAAGTAAATGCCCAGTAAATGTTGAGAAGCTCAAGGACACTGCCCAGTCCTGTGCCCCGTTGCAACCCGCAAGGATGCACGTTATTCAGTGCTGCACTACTGAGCTGGAGCTGGCCAGGTCCTGTGCCATAGCCGCCTACATCTGAGGCAGGTAGGCGGTGGCCACTGGAGCGATGAGGAGCCCATTCCTGGACCGTGGTAGGGCTGGACTGAAAACGCTGCAAGCCCTGGTCAGCCAACAAGAGCTTTTCACTCCTGAAGGATCTGGGTTGGTTTGGAGGTGCAAACAGTGCTATGAGCCCCAACCTTGGGAGTCCTTCTGCTTCCCTTGCCCAAGACCTCCTTGAAACACAGACCACACTTAAATCCTAGGGTCTTTCTCGGATGCTCTGCCCTTCTAGGCCTGTCTCTGGATCACTTACTGGGTACAGTTTCCCTTCGCTACCTGTTTCTCTGCTCTGCCTGTGATACTGGCCCCTGGTTTTATTTTTGGTTAGCCTCCTTAGTCCCATGTTGAATTGGTCTTAGCCATTTAGATAGAACCTGCTTCTCAGTTAGCTTCCTTGAGCCTCAGTTGCCTTTCAGGACATCCAGACCCCCCTCCTGGGCACACCTTGCCTACCTCTGCAGAGATTCTCCTGGGTGTTCCTGCAGCATTTATCCCTACACAATCCTACCCCCAACTTCCGGAGCCTACTCCGTCTGCACAGCCCTTCTTCCTCCTTCTGTAGACACCATGGCAAGTCTTGCCCCGCTGTGTCCCCTTTTCTGAGCCACAGATCTTGATCCACCTGTGTGAAGCTTTTGTATGCTGTTCCCTCTCCTCAGCAGTGGGTCCTCCCAGGTACCTGGGGCCTATGGTCTTCATGAGAGTTTGTGGTAGTCCAATCCAGACCTCTGATGCTGGAAAACTGTTTTGTTATGTGTTGTTATGCCATGGGTTGGTATTTCATTGGGTACTATGAGTCTTCCTTCCCTCCATGATGCCCTCCGGGCCTCTGATAAAGCTTTGATACTCTAGGTACCTGTGCTGTGTATAGACTGGTGTTTTCCCTCTGACCCAGATCCCAAAGAGGTAATGGTGGAGCTCTAGCCCAGTGAGGTACCCAGAGGCCACCTGCTCTCCCTGTGTAGACAGCTGCATCCTCAGCTCCACAGAAAAACATTTTTATCTGCCCACACCTACCCACCCTCAGTTGACCAGATAGTGCCCAGGCATGTTCCTGTTAGGGACTATGGGGCATAGAGAGTGGCCACCTGCCATGGAGTGCCATAGCCCAAGACTGGTAGAAGCTATTCCTCTGGTGCAGGCTTCCAGGTGCTAAACGCCTGGGCCAGAGACACTCTCCTTAGAGATGTCCCGCCTCTGGAGGTGCTGCAGCTTTTGCTTCTGGTACACGGTATCTCTGCCAGACTCTGTGTGGCCAGGGGCTGTTGCTGACCGGGAATGCTCCTGTTCTGCAATGGACCAAAGCACAGTGTCACGTAGAGTGTTAGAGGCACTGCCTGCAGCCTAACAAGTCACCCGTGAGCCGTGCCCCACCTGGAGTAGCACCGAGTGCAGAGTGCAGTGTGTGTTCTGCAGGCAGCATCCAGCAGTGAGCAGCTACCTGCTGTAGGCCCAGGCGTGCACACGGATGCAGCTGAAGCAGCCCTCTGATCAGGTCCCGGCACCCTACAGGGGAGGGCTTACCGCTGGAGCCTGTCAGTGACTCTGACCCTCACCCACTACTGCCAGAAACGGTGGCTACTTGAGAGGGATCCTTTCTAGTCTGGCAAAGGTTTGGGGCTTCTGCCCATTATTAAAGGGGACTGAGGCACAGAAAACGGTGAGGTATTCTGGACTATGTTAATATTCAGTAGGATTGCTACCCCTCAGTTGGTTCCATCCTCAGCTCAGCTTCCCAACATGCAGTGTATGGGTGGTCCTTTTCCAGACTATGGGGTAGGGTGATCTATCATATCATTGTCTTTGCTGTCTGTGGTCCTAGTCTCTGGCTGCTCTCCAGGCCTGAGCTGGGGCTCGGAAGGAGAATGGAATGGTGTTGCTCACCTGGGGACAACCCTGGCTTGAAGACGGGACCACGACGAATCAGATGCAGCATGCGGTGGGGTTGGTGTTCTTTGAAGGGCAACTTCCCAGACACCATGGCATGAAGGATGATCCCTCTGGGGACACAACTTCCTCAGGGTGTCGTCCCTCCTAAGCCCACCCATGCATCCCGCAGGAGTTACCTGGGGTACTCACAGGCTCCACAGATCAGCCTGCTCACCATTGTACTTCTTGCTCATGAGGATCTCTGGGGCCGTGTAGGCCACAGAGCCACAGAAGGTGCTCAGCAGTGAGTTCTTGAGCCCCACGCAGTTGGCAAAGCCAAAATCTGCACACAGCATCCAGGCAGGGCAAGGCAACACAGATGATGGGCAGGTTGGGGACAGTGGGTTCAAGAGGCTATCTATCTGTTGGGATGGTGGGGTCAGGGTGGGGAGCTCTGAATGTATGTTACAGAGATGAGAGTGAAGGAGGAACTAGGTAGGGCCTCCTGTGGATGCAGGCCAGTGCGTTTGGGCTGGAGGTAGGAGTTGAATTCAGGCTTTTTGGAAGAACTAGAGGTCAGAGTTGAGGACAAGAGCCTGGATGGGACAGGAAGTTGGAGGTAGAAGTCCAGAAGGAAACTGAACTGAGGAAGCCGTGTAGGCTCACCTGTCAGCTTTAGGAAGCCCTGGTCATCCAACAGGATGTTCTCACATTTCAAGTCTCTGTGGGAGAAGGGAATATGGGGCTGGGCTCAAGTGGGTCAGCAGATACCCAGCTAGGCAGGTAGGCCAGGTGACGCGCTCACCGGTGCACAATGCCGGCATTGTGGCAGTGGGCCACAGCGCTGACCAGCTGCCAGAACAGCCTTCGAGCCTCTTCCTCCTCTAGCCCTGGGCAACATCGGAGGTCTGACACTGCGTTGATATGCTCCAACAGGTCGCCTCGGGCTGCCAACTCCAGTACCAGGTAGGAGCGCTGACTGTTCTGGTAGGTGTCATATAACTGCACCTATCAAACACCCCCATGCCCCATGTACACTGTCATCCTGAGGAAGGCCTGGGCCAAGAGTGCTAGAACTGTCCCATATACTAGATCCCAGTTGCAGGGGGAGTGTGGGCTCTGTATTCAAGGGCAAAAAGGTTTTCCGAGTAGGGGAGGGGAGCCAAGCATGGGGTGGACAGCAGGCATGGTGAGGACTGTCTTACTATGTTAAGGTGCTTGTAGGTGGCATTGAGTGATGAAATCTCACGGGGCAGGAACTTTCTGGAGTACTCCACTGGGGCTTCAGCCATGGACACAATCTTAATAGCCACCTGAGAAAGGTGGGGAGTGGTCAGCTGGGTCAAAGCTCCTTAGAATAGGCCCACTGTTCTTTACACACATTGCTGAACTTCTCCCAGGGGCTGGGTGAGCAATATCCTCGAAAGGTGGTGCCAGCCCTACTTTCTTTTTGTCCTGGGCACATATATGTTTGAGGGGTTGGGGGATAGAGCATGGGGGAGCTGAGAAGAAATAGGACCTAGGAGGGAGGTCCCATAGAGGAAGCTAGGGTAGCTGGAAGGTACCTGAGAGGGTTTAGGACACAGGCCTGCTGGAACCAAGCTGGGGTACCCCCAAGGAACCCACAGAGAAGGTGGCAGGCCTCCCTCACCATAGTGTGGCGCTTGGCCCGCAAGTCAGAGGCTAGTTTAGGATTGTGCTTCATGCGCTCACGTGTTGCATAGGCTAGGTAGACCTTGGAGAAAGCACCAGAGCCAATCTTCTTGGAGGAGAGCAGATAACCATTGTTCATGCATTCTTGAGCCTGTTCCATGAAGATCCTCTCATCCAGCTTGTGCCGGCTGTTGCTCCTTGTGGAGGGCAGGGTGCCACAGAAGGGGGCTTGGAGGGCCAGCTTACTGTCCGTCAACAGCAGAGACACAGCTGAGATCTAACTTGTTTCAGAGGGCAGGGACTGGGGAAGCAGAGGGCTAGGTGGGACCTGAAGCCCCTTGGAGAAAACAGCCAGTTTTCTGAAGACTTAATGAGCTTAAGGCTAAGAGTGTAGGTTGAGAGACTGGGGGAGGCTGAGAGGCTAACACAGCTCTGGACTGATTGGAGAGTGAAGACTCCAGGGAACTGGGTATAGGTTCTAGAATAGAAGGTTCTAGAGATGCACCTGCATTGTGCCCTCAAAGTTATCATCTTTAGACCTGTCATCTCTGAGGCTGTCTTACTAGATTAGCTCTATCCAATGCTGTGCTCTTTTTCTGTGGGGTGAAAACTCACATGAAGGGCTAGCACTAGGGTGAGGCTTTTGTGAGCTACTCTACATGTGATTGAATATAAAAGAAATTTTAAGGATTTATTTTTCATTATTTTTAAGTGTGTGTGTGTGTGTATGTGTGTGTGTGTGTGTGTGTGTGTGTATGGAGAGAGGGGAGAGAGAGAGAGAGAGAGAGAGAGAGAGAGAGAGAGAGAGAGAGAGAGAGAGAGATTGAGACCGAGACCCCATAGAGGTTTTGTATCTCCTGGAGCTGAAATTTTAGGTGGTTGTGAGCCACCTGATAATGGGTGCTGGCAACCAAACTTGGGTCCCCTGCAAAAGCAGTATGTGTCCTTAATTGCTGAGCCATTTCTCCAGCCACTATACAAGGCTTTTAAAGAAGTTGGGAGGAAGTTGGGCAGTGGTGGCACACACCTTTAGTCCAGCACTCGAGGCAGAGGCAGGTGGATCTCTGAGTTTAAGGCCAGCTTGGTCTACAGAGCAAGTTCCAGGACAGCCAGGGCTACACAGAGAGACCCTGTCTCGAAAAAACAAAATAAAAGTTGGAAGGGTTAAGTCCTCTAAGAATATAAAGAGGTCAAAAGAGATCAGCCACTGATATATTCTTTGAGGGGGTGCCAAGGCCACAGCTAAATGAATCAGAAGTGGCAAGAGTCCAGGATCCTCTATCCTGGTCTTCCTCTACTGGATCTTGATTTTTCACCCAGGCTAGACCTGCTGCAGGAAGCCTACCACCTAGATCTCTCTTCAGGCTTGAACACCTCAGGGCAAGCAAAGGCCACCTCCTCAGACTACTCTGCCAGGGCATGGAATCTACCATCACTTCTCCCTTGTTTTGAACTCCAGAGTCACAGCTGACCTTTACCTAGCATGTGCTGTATGCCAGTTGCTACTCTAAGTAGTCATCTTAGCTACATCTCTCTGATCATGTCTGATTCCCTGAACACTTCTGTGTGTAGTAAGTCTTTTTCTTTGGGCAGCCAGCTCACAAATAATGACATGAAGACTTACTAATTATGAAAGCTCGGCCTTAGCTTAGGTTTGTCCCGCTAGCTCTTACAACAAATTAACCTGCTTTTATTAATCTACATTTTATCATGTGGCTTTTTACCTTTCCTTCATTCTGTGTGTCTGACTCTCTCCATGTCTCATTGGTGTCTCCTCTGGGCCTCGATCTCCCCCTCTTCCTCTCTGTCCCTCAAAATCCCGCCCATACCTCCTGCCTAGCTATTGGCTGTTCAGCTTTTTATTACACCAATCACAGCAGTACATTTTCACACACTGTACACATATCCCACAACAGACGTGCCAGAGGTAGTTCCTACCCAGGATTTCAAATCTGAGTGCAATGAAACAATACACGTTTTACAGATGATGAAACAGGTCTCTGCTGTGAGCCGGAGGAACCAGCATATTGGCTAGTGGGCAGCTGTCCTGAGACTATTCATAAAGGCCTGAAATGTGGTAGAAGTCTAATGAGTCTTGGAGACTTGTGTCTTCCTGCACTGAAGTCTATAGGTGGATGCGGCAGGCCTTTACAATAAGGCTTTGGAATAGCCTGGCCTGAGCTGTCAGGAGTTTTCTCTCATCCATGTTGTCCTGTGAATTTTTGGAATGAATGGCTCGTGGCTACAGTCCTTGTCTTGTTGGTTTTGTTTTGTTTTGTTTTGTTTTTTTGTTTTTCGAGACAGGGTTTCTCTATGTAGCTTTGCGCCTTTCCTGGAACTCTCTTTGGAGACCAGGCTGGCCTCGAACTCAATATGTTTTATCTCTCTTTTTTTTTAAGATTTATTTATTTATTATGTCTACAGTGTTCTGCCTGTATGTTTTGCCTGCAGGCCAGAAGAGGGCACCAGATCTCATTATAGATGGTTGTGAGCCACCATGTGGTTGCTGGGAATTGAACTCAGGACCTTTAGAAGAGCAGCCAGTGCTCTTAACCGCTGAGCCATCTCTCCAGCCCCCCCTTTTTTTTGGTGCCCCCCCCTTTTTTTTTGGTTTTTCAAGACAGGGTTTCTCTGTGTAGCTTTGGATCCTGTCCTGGAACTCACTCTGTAGCCCAGGCTGGCCTCGAACTCACAGAGATCTGCCTTGAGGCAGGTTTTTTTGTTTGTTTGTTTGTTTTTGTTTTTTGTACCCCTGTCCTAGAACTCACTCTGTAGACCAGATAGGCCTCAAACTCACAGAGATCTGTCTGCCTCTGCATCCCAAGTGCTGGGTCTAAAGGTGTGTTCCACCATCGCCCAGTAAAATTTTATTCTTAACTGCATGCATGTGCTTGTGTGTGTGTGTGTGAGGTATGTGCACTTGAGTGTGGAAGCCTGTGGGGCTTAGAAGCTTTTTTTTTTTTTTAATGTGCGTTGGTGTTTTGCCATGGAACTGGAGTTACAGACAGTTGTGAATGGCCATCTGGGAGCTGGGAATTGAACTCGAGTTCTCTGGAAGAGCATTCAGTGCTCTTAACCTCTGAGCCATCTCTTCAGCCTTGCTTAGACGCTTTGATTCCACCTGGAGCTCGAAGTTACAGCTGGTTGTGAGCTGCCTAACATGGGAGAGAGTAGAATGTGCTGAGCCATCTCTCCAGTCTGTAGCTGTAAGTTTCTCCGGTCCCGTCCCCCACTCCCCACCCCCTGCCCCAGCCACTTGGACCCAAGTAAACACACAGAGGCTTTATATTATTACAAACCGTATGGCCTATGGCAGGCTTCTTGCTAGCTAGCTCTTATAAATTAACCCATTTCAATTTATCTATAAGTTGCCACGTGGCCGTGGCTTACCAGTACTTTCACATCTTGCTTCTCCTGGTGGTTCTGGCTTCCCTCTGGACTCCACCTTTCTCCTTCCTCTCTCTCTCCTTGGATTTCCCATCTGCCTCTAAGCTGCCTTGCCATAGGCCAAAGCAACTTACTTATTAACCAATGGGAACAACATACATTCACAGTGTACAGAAAGACATCCCGCAGCACCAGTCCCTTTGCATTGTCTCTGTCTGCACCCTTATTATCCCATCAGTTCCACTGTGTTTTATTTAGTAGCTCACGTGCTGGGCTTTATCCTGAATAATAAGAGTAAAAATTAAGTTGTGAGCCGGGCGGTGGTGGCGCACACCTTTAATCCCAGCACTCAGAGCCAGGCGGATCTCTGTGAGTTCCAGGGCAGCCTGGTCTACAGAGCGAGATCCAGGACAGGCACTAAAACTACACAGAGAAACCCTGTCTTGAAAACAACAACAACAACAAAAATATTAAGTTGTGATACATGCTGGGCAGCTTGTGTGCTTGGGGAGGGAAAAGGTGACTGATGTGGCTGTGGAGGGGCACAGGACCAATGGGGCATGTTGGGCTGTGGCCACAGCAGTGCCACTGCAAGGCTTTTCGGGCTGGAGAGGGAGTTGTCCAGGTGTGAGCTTGGAGAAGACCTCCTTCCCTGGTCGATAGCCTGGTTAGTTCCTTCTGTTTCCTGACATCTTCCTGGGCCATGATCCCATCTGCAGAATGCTCCCCTCTCTGGCCCATATATATCCTGTCTTTCTCTCTGGGCTCTATCCTCACAACAGAAATAGATTCAAGTCCCTCCTACTGTGGAAAAGATTATCAGGTCTCAGTGTTTGCCTCTTAGAACCCTCAGCCAGTCCCTCCAGGACTCCGTTCAACCACAACTTGATTTCGACACCTAACATATTCTGTCCGGCCTGGATATGTGGTAACTAACTGCTTCCTTTTTCTCAACCGGCTCTTTTGGTTCTTTTGCTTTCAGAACACTGCCTACAACTTTCTTTTGTTTACACGTATCTGGGTGATTTCAACCTCTGGTTCTTTGCAGGTGCCCAGTCTTTCTGGCATATTCTTCCCCCAACTCTCTCAGGTACAAGCCCTTACCACCTTTGCCTTCTTGGCCCCCAAGCCAAACCCCTTCACAATGTTTCCTATATCCTGTAGTATGCCTTACTATTCCTTTACTTGTTTGTTCACCTCTTTCCAGGCTTAGAGGCTTTGGTTTCACCTGGAGCTGGACATTACAACTAACTGTGAGCTGCCCAGGTGCTGGGACATGATCATCCTGATTCCCAAGGTCCTGTTGATATGTTGGATATGTACCTCTGATGGGCATGGGCATATGTACCTGTTGTTTAGGGGTCCATGAACTAGGTGTTTAGAATATGACAATACCAGGTGTGTACCCAGGACAGCTGCACCAAGTGTGCTGCGGCTGTTGCTTCTCTCTCTCTCTCTCTCTCTCTCTCTCTCTCTCTCTCTCTCTCTCTCTCTCTCTCTCTCTCTCTCTCTCTCTCTCTCTCTCTCTCTCTCTCTCTTTTGTTGTTTTGGTTTTTTCGAGATAGGGTCTCACTTTGTAGCTCTGGCTGTCCTGGAACTCAGTCTGTAGACCAGGTTGACCTCCAACTCATAGGGATCCACCTGCCTCTGCCTCCCGAAGGTGGGGATTAAAGACGTGCGCCACCACACTCGGCCGCTGGGGCTTTCTGCTGTTGCAAGCGGATCCTGACTGGTCTCGAGAACAGCGCTTGCGCAGACGGCCCCTGGAGCAGCAGCAGCCCTCGTGAAGTGGTCACCGGACCGCCGTGGGGACTCAGCTGAGTATAAGGAGGAGTCAGTCTACCTAGG